ACTTCTTATACACGGAACATGAAAATCTGTTAACAAAAGTGCTTTTAGATATTGATCCCACCCCTGACGTTTTGGGGTCTGCGATTCCTCTGCTCATTTGTTTAATGGACTTTTGAACTTGAACACCGCTCGTTATCTCCATATTTTTCACTTATCAATTACCAAAAGACAAAAGTACGAGGCGTATATATTTGAGGAGACTAAAAAAAAATAATATTATATAATAATAAATATACAAAATAAAGAATTTACAGAAATGACTGGTTCATCATATAATCCAGTGATAAAAAATAATTTCTGATTTAATATAAATTAAAAAAAAAAGATACTTACGGAATTAAGAATCGTCAGAAAGAAGGCTTATGATGAGTAGGTGTGAAATAGTTATTTTTGAACATACACAACTAAGTTTGCTATCATAAAATAACACGATAATTTTAGATTGGAATAGTGCTGAGAACATCTATTGAAATCTCAAAACTGATCTCTCCCAGTTTAATTGTAATATTGTAGAAAGGGTAGAGTTTTTTTTCTTTAAATATGGTTTATTTAATGCTTTCTCTCATGAAAAGTACTAAAGAATTTATTTCCCATAAGAGTGCCATTTCGTCATCGCGATCGGGTACCATTAACTCTCTGAGAGTAAACAGTTAGGATAACATTAAACCGTTATGTCAGAACGGTGGAGACATTTCAGCAGTTGTTAGCACAGAACGGCCATCAATGTTAAATAATTAATAACTTTCAGTTATATAAATCAGAGCCTTTGATATAAATCAGAACCTTTGATCACACAAACAATTCTGACGAACTTCATTGTTCTGGATATACAATATGGAAATCTACTTCAACATAGTATTCATTACTGCTGTTTTTGGCGTTACTTTTGCTAAAATAGGCAAAAATTCTAGTTGGAAGATAAAGAAAACAAATAGAACGGAACTGCCCAGTGATAAAAGAGAGCTTAGAGCTGTTCAGATTCGAGATGTGAAAAAAGAATCACCGTTGAGAAAAATCAGGTCATCGGAAGATGGATTAGAAGAAAAATACCCCCAAAATAAGGACCGTATTGAGGTCCGTCAGACCCTGGATAAACTTAACCTAACCAGTGATCTCTACAACATTCTTCAGGAGGATTATCTGTTTTGTCCAATGTCAAGTCCATGTCTGACACGCCCACGTTTGAATTTTTCGCAGATGTTACCATACCGTCCCTGTTGTAAGGAGTGCAGCTGCACTGAAGACTGCTACAAGACGGGTACTTGCTGCGCGGACATCGAAACACCAAAATCTTCCATAGACTGTATAATACCACAATATCTTCCGTATGGAAGGTCCTTGGTCAACAATACAATTCAAATTAAAATGGTGACCATGTGTAAACACAATTTTGCTGGAAAGGACATGAAAGATTTGTGTGAGAGACCTAATGTGGGACTGAAATCAATTGACAAGTTTTTGCCGGTATTTGCTAGTGGTAATGCCTATCGGAACCGCTTCTGTGCGCTCTGTAATGACGTATCTATTTCTAATATCATACCATTTCGAGGACAAGTCGCTTGTCCCAACGCCACGGGAGTGTACGCTAGCTCTGTTTCGAATCTTTTACAATCTCTTGAAGAAGAAAGACGATGTAACCTTTTGTTTTATTTGCCACCACAAGCAATGCGTTTCGTTACTGATCTTAGATGTGATATTGGGTTTATCAGAGAATGTAATGTAACAGGGAAATGGCGTCACTATGACCCCACTGTTGAGCGTGCGTGCACATCCTATACACATATCTATCGTACTATGTACAGAAATGTCCACTGTTACATGTGTAACAATGAAGATACTCCATTTATGAAGTGTTCCCATAGAGATCTTCAACCAGAAACAGGGTTTACAATGGGAGCCTTCACCGCCATGTTACAATTCTCTTCAGATGTTCAGAATGAAGACATTGAAAGCCTGGACAACAATCAATGTCAACAAAACGAAATAAAAGATGTTTTAAGGGTAATATGAATTGTATTTCTTAGCATCTTTGTCACTTTTATTTGTGTTTTGTTGTGATGTTTTGTTAAAAACTAAACGAATATTATTTGGTATTCAGTTTGACCTCTGAAGTATTCCTTTTACCCCTGTTCATGGATGTTTCAGTAGAAAAATAAAAGACAAATGTAGCGATATTAGCAAAAGCATTGTTTCGATTGTAGTTTATATGCCTCTTGTCATTGTAAGAGCAGAAATTTTGTGCATTTACATGTGACTTTTGCAATCGTATCATCACGGTCTCAGCGCATCAAACACATCACAAAACAAACTTACCTTATTGAAGTTATTCCTATGGCAGGCTGTATCTTACTTTCTCAAACCTCTCTTTTGTAGAATGTGTGCGTTCGTCCCAGATGTTCCATTCCTTTCTCGTTTGACGGCAGAACAAGAACATGCTCCAAAGTGTTTGAAGATAGAATTACCGTATATGAATTATTTTTGCTTGTAACAAGCAAAGCCTCATTCCGAACAGACTTGGTACAACCGTTTATAACAGATTATCTAAGTAGTGGATCCTCTTTTCACTTGATGTACCAAAGACTTTTCGAAGTCGATTTTAAGAATTCCACAATCTCTACACACACGATATTTCACATGTTATTCAGGGGAAATGATTCATCTCAACAAATACACCATGTTCTTGGAACTGCTGAGTATCTGAAGAAAGTTTTTAGAGAAATAACAAAAGCTGAAATTCTTACGGGACAGGCTTACAGTGATTTCTCCAACTTAAGCACCTACTTCTTCCCTTACGACGGACAGCGCCTTCGAGAAAAAAACACTAGTATTGATGATTTAATCCCTCCCAGTGATTTCCGTGATACATTATCAAACAGAGTTTCAAGATTATTAATTTGTCCTTTCATAACACTCGAAAACTACACCACCATTTTAAAGAAGAACACTTATGAGCTCTGTGTTTTGGAGTTGAATGTCTGCTTTGAACAGATGGAATTCAGGGATACAAACGGTACCTACTCAGTCTGTATTGAGAAATTCGTGAAAAGGATGAATGATTTATCATTAAAGACGGCGTCCACACTTTCAGACCGTGACGATGTCGAGGGGGTCCTTTCACTTGCCAGTACATGTATCTCTGTCGTGAGTCTGCTCTATGTTATAGTGACGTTCACATTGTTTAGTTCTTTGAGAACTTTTCCGGGAAAGTTGATTCTTGCGCTCTCTCTCAGCCTTTTAGTTGCCCACCTCCTGTACCAGTTTGGTTTGTTCCAAACTGACTACCCCATCGTTTGTAAAAGCCTGGGCATCTTGATTCATTTCTTCTGGCTGTCGGTCATTTACTGGATGAATGTGTCTTGTTTCCACATGGTATCTGTCTTTACTCGAACCTTTGCACAAGAGCTTAACACCAAGTCCAGATTCCTAAGCTACACAGCTTATGTTTATCTTAGCTCCTTCTTCTTTGTGATTATCAATGTGGTTACGAGTCATTTCAGGAAAGCTGGACTAGGATATGGCGGTAATATTTGTTGGATTTCTAGTTCGGATATGGTTGGATACGTTTTTGCGTTACCTCTTGGCGTTGTCTTATTGTCAAACTTTATTATGTTTGTAGTCGTCGTCGTTTTCTTCCACAGACGACCTAACCTCCAAGGAAGGAAAAATCGTGATCGGGACGACTTCCTTATCTTTATCAAACTGACGAGCATAACTGGGGTCTCTTGGGCGTTTGGATTCCTTTTCGAATGGTTCCGCGTGAAGGTGTTCTCCTATCTATTTATAGTATTTACTGGATGTCAAGGCTTGTTTCTAATGATTTCTTTCTCCTGTAATTCACGTGTGTTAAAACTTTACTCATCTGCTGTCAAGGGTTCAGGCAATAGATCCAACTCCTCTTCTATGTACCAACTAACACGTCCGTCTAAAGATTCAAGTCGTAACACCCATCAAACGTCCACTTCGACGTCTCAGAGGACGTAATCTACGAAACACCATTACACTTCACATCGTACATTTGCATGTTGGGAAGAGAACTTTAGCAAAATCTTCAAATGAACAAAGCAAAAAAAACTATATATTCCCGCCTTACTGTTTTAGCATTCATTTATACAGGAATCTACGAATATTCCATCATCACCTGCAAATCGACTTTATGTCTCTGTTTGATTCGAAAGGCAAGACGTACTGTTTCTGAATCGAAGAGAGCTACTGACAAATAAGAACAAGGATATCCACATTCTTGTTTAAAATCAATATTTCGCAAATTCTATTGTCAACACTCAGCAAATAGTCAAGCACTGATTGACATTTTTCATAAAAGCCTCATTTTATACAGCATTGTCTGTGGATTTTTCCATTTACATGATCATGCATGACAAGCAAACGGAAGGTGTGACTGGTCAGTGGGAATGCCTGGTCCTCCATGGCACCTGATCCCACCTTTGATGTTTTATAAGAGGTCCGTTACATGCAAGTTCAATAGACTTTTAAGCATGATAACTGATGTATTAACTGCTGTCAATACCATTCATATAAGGCCCTAAAACTGGATTTGTTAGGCCTTAGTAAAAACAAAACAATATTTTACATAATTTAATCAATAATTTACCAATAAACAATAATTATCACAGATTGGTATGCACGGATCAAGATTTTTTTTTTGGTTTTATTCTTACTTTAAATTGCATTTCTCATTTGTTTATGACATGACAATAAATTTGCGGTCATTAGACAAACCTGTGTTTATACAATGATAAGTAACTGCTATCTGAATTGTTATACAGTTTGTATATATTTTTATGAGTATTTATTATGTCTAATTTGTATCTTGAATCAAATGATTTCAATTCTTTTCTCAATTTCAAGATAAAAGAAATCTTAAATATAGTATCAATTATTCACCAATATACTGTAAATCACTTTTTATTCGCGAGAACTTTATTTTCGCATAATTAAACGGTAGAAATCGCATATAATAGAAAATATAGCAATGACCACAATTCGTGAAAATTTTGTTTCGCTAATAAAGAGTCGATGACTATCTCTCGAAAATAAGGTGTCGCGAAAATTAAGTGATTTACAGTAAACTAACAGTAATTAATTCTAAGTTGGAATAAAATTGTTAACATTTTAAAGAATAACTTTTTCTTTAAAAACAGTAAATATATACAAAAAGAATTAAAAAAACATTTATTCAAGGTTAATTCAATTCTCCTGAGTTTGGCTTCATTCAAAATACTGCTGTTCTTGCATAGCTCTTGACACTGCACAACATACTGCAGTGTGTTTTAAAAATCTAATAAAATTCAGTAAAAAACAGATGAAAAAATACGAACCCTTCGGACAAAATTTTGAAATCTCAATTGAAATCAGGAAGGGTTTCTTTCGATGTCTGCCAATAAAATGAAGCTGAATTACAGATTTCTTTGGTTTCTCTTCCTTAGATATGCAGAATTTAAAAAAAATGAATAAAAGTTGCTTATAAAACCATTTTTCACATGATACTATTCAGTAAACATATCTAACTGATAAAATGTGATATATAAAATAAAAAATATAAACATTGATTCTAACAGAAATCTTATTAAGATGGGCATTTAAGTACTGAACACTGAAATACAATTTGAAATTCCACCAGATATTTATTATACAAGTGCAATCTTGAAAGTTTGGCAAAGAAACAAATGAACAATAAGTAAACTAAGATTACCCTTAAACAAAACTTAAGCCAACAATTTCAAAGAATTAACAATTTGAATAACAGAAATTATTTATTAATTTTATCAATAATCGTATCAATTGTTTATTATGGGTCAATTCAATCAAGTGGCCTTGATGCCTATAAGCACTTTAATTAATTAATGGTTTTCCATTTAAAGCTTTCCATGATAATCAACGATGGTCAGACTCGAATGATACAGTGTGTGAAGTAACAAACAATAACAATTCATTGAGTTCCCTTGTGTGGTGAGATAACAAGTGATAAAATACAACACAGTAAAGCCAATGACTTCTGATACATAACCATATACTTCAATGATTGTATTTTTGATATGAATTGTTCCCTGCATTAATGCAGAAGAGTTTATAAAATGACTTAAAATGGACCATAAAAATTCAATGTATTATGATGATGAACACAAAGAAATTCAGTTTTTTTTAGGTCTTGATATCAAAGGCCTGGGTCTTTTCAAGATTGGGAAATTCCAAAAAAACATTCCTTAAAAGAAAAGAGGTGGGAATGTTAATGATGTCATCTAATCCATGGCATAGCTGAGGGACATTTTATAGTTCTCTGTTTTATGTATAACTCAAGCAAGACAAGTAAGATATCTCATGGTAACCAGATAATGATATTCAAATTAATATTCTTTCTCTATCAAAGTATTTTCCATGTTTTCTGTCTATCAACATGCCAAAATAATACATATCTTGATTAAAAGCCTAGGGATACATTCTACATTTACAGACTTCTAAATTCCAAGGTAAGTTCCTGACTCCGATCGTGTATCATTAGGAGTCCATATTGCAATCTTTCCATCACTACTGCCAGAACCACTCAGAATATAACGATTCTCGGCATTACAAAGGGAGCGAACTGCATCATCATGCGCCTGCAGTGATCGAAAGGCTTTCTTTGTGTCACAATTTATTATGAAAATTCTGCCATCTTTGGATCCTGCCCAAATCTGCAAAAATATACAAGTCATAAGTGAAATTAAATAAATTCAAATGTACATAATTCCTTGAATTACTGTTAAAGTGGAAATTTTATGTTGAAAAAACTTTGTTGATTTTAGATCTAAAATGATTTTATAGTTACTTAATTTTGAAGTTTTAAAAATAATCAAATATTTACTACATGTGTAGTTCTAGGAAAATACTTTTTTAGGAATTAAACCTGTTATTTCATAAGTAAATATTAACAATAAAACAAGAGGCCCACGGGCCTTATAGGTCACCTGAGTATTGTGTAACAACTTTCAAACAATTAAATTTGGTTCGTGTTTTAAACCAGAGGCCATGAAATTCAAAATTCACAATTTTGAAAGAGGCACCATTGCTTATCATAATTATAAACTTAGCATGCTTACTCTATTTACTTAATACCCAGAGGTAGATCATAGTAACAAAGAGAAAATGCACTTCCACTTTATACCCAGTTGTGCACCTCACCCCAAAGGAAACACTGACCCAGGGGCCATATATTTCAAAAAATTGCAAATTTTATCATAAAATAGTTGCTTAATACCAAAGAGCAGATTTCAAAGCATTTTCAGACTATGTGACCCCCCCCTCCCCCACCCAGGGGGCATATAAAACCAATTTGCTAGATGCACCTTTCTTCATCATAAATATATATACTTGGATCATTGGCATAAAACCCATAAGCAAAGGAAAATATTTTCAAAGAACTAATGTATATATATATTAGAGCCCCATATCTAACACCAGAACCCTTAACCCTGGGGCCATAAAATTCACAATTTTGGAAGAGGCACTCTTGCTCATCATAACGATGTACTTAGTTAGTTTATTTAATACCCAGAAGCAGAGAAGAAGATTTTCAAAGAATAATGCATTTTCACTATATACAGCCCCGCCCTAACACCAGAACCCCTGACCCTGGGGCCATAAAATTCACAATTTTGGAAGAGGCAATCTTGCTCATCATAACGATGTACTTAGTTAGTTTATTTAATACCCAGTAGCAGAGTAGAAGATTTTCAAAGAATTAATGATTTTCACTAAATAATCAATAGAGCCCTGCCCTAACACCAGAACTCCTGACCCTAATGATAAATTTAAATCATATACCCCCATCATAACTAACTGTTAGTTTATTTAAACATATTAGAAGTAAACCTTTCAAAGAAAGATCATTGTATAATATTAATCCATTAAACAAAGCATAATCAAAATTTTGGTAAAGGACTCAATGCTCATTATATTCATGCCAACAGTTTGCCTGCTTGATGTCCAGGAGTAAAGAAGAAGATTTTTAAAGATTGCAATAATTTTAGTGGTTTTGGCCCCACCCCTCAGGCCCCAGGGGGGCGGGGCCCATGAAATTCACAATTTTTGTTCCCCTTCACCCATAGATGCTTTATGTAAAATTTGGTGGAAATTGGTTGAGTGGTTGCAGAGAATAAGTTGAAAATGTTCAAATGTTAACACACGACGAACGACGACGGATGAAATCGGATAGCAATAGGTCACCTGAGTTTACTCAGGTGACCTAATAATAAAACGCTAATCCCAAAAATATATTTCTGCTTTTACAGTATATGCATTTATACATGTATTTCCTACATTAATTTACCCTTCCCCAAAAAATAAATGAAGAAAAAGGCTTCTATATCCTTACCCTTCTATCTTGGATAACCATATCACTGATTCCTCTACAGTCCAACTTGAGTCTGTGTGATGGCTCTTCTTTTCCATCCACTTCCCAAATTACAATTTCTCCTCCTCTCCTACATCCGGCCCAAATCTGCACATGACAAAATTTGAATTTAATACATTGTCATGCATCTTGTATATTTATCAGTAAATCATCATATTCTTGGCTATTACCTCATCTTTTTCATCAGCGTATTCTGCCTTAACAATCAGAAAACAGTCCATCTCCACCGGTCTAAACTTTGGATCCTCCACTGAGAACTCAAGTTCCTGAATAATCTGACCACTTCCATTGACTCTTAGAATTCTCTGCCAGGTTCCTGCAAAAATTAGAGAAAAACCATTAATATTGTAAGTCTAATTACTTGTTAAATTTGGTCCTCAGTCATTTCTCTATCATAATATGCTTCCGGCATACTGTAAGTCGTTTTAATTCCACAGTGTTAAAATTTCACGATATCTGAAGAAAACCTAATTGCAATGGTTTTAATTTCACGCTGCAAGAAATAAATTTAAAATTTGGTATAAACATTAAAACGATTTTTAAAAATTATCATAACATTCAAGATGGGTTTAATTTCGCGGAAAAATGATAAATCATGAACACAGCAAAATTAAAACCATCGCAATTATTTACCAACCTACAGTAATCAATTTTATAATTTATTTTAATCTTAAATAGTGCCCCATTAAAATATTTTCAAAAGATTTTTCCGGAATGGCGGGCTTGATCTTACCACACCAGATGTGTTCGTCGTAATACTTGATGCTGCGTAGATCTCGTACATTCTCCAGTCGTATCGGGCGGCTGGGCCTGAGTCAGTTTTTGTACGTCCCACTTCATTATCACCCCATCAATGCTGGCAGTAAAGGCATACCTACAAAGAGGGAACAAAGATTATTTTATGCCTCACTAAGAAATGTCCAATTAGCTTAAATCAATAACTTCCTAGCTAAAACTGCTGATATTTACAATGGTTTAAAATGGTTTATAAAGCGTAAACTAACCACACCCAGGTTAAAATGTATAACTTGGGTAGCTATTAACGACGTTCGATCCTGATATTTAAAGTCTTAAACTTTTTTTGCCAAGTATATTTTTAGTTTCTATATTCATTGCTTAATTAAAATTCAAATCAAAAAATGGAGGTCAATGCACTTCTTTTGGTGCTACAGTACATTTAATTTGACCTTTTTGCACTGAAATTTGTGTCTTAATTAAAAATAATATTTTTGACGTTTTCCCTCCAATATTTTTATCCAATTAAAGCATGAAACAAAATGAACTCTAAGTTTGTTTAAAAAAAGACACTTAAAAATTGTGACTAAGAAAAAGTTTTAAATTGCTTCGCATAATCAATTATTTGACCTTTCTGCACTAATAAAAAGTGATTTTTCTGGCATTGAAAATTTAATAAGCCAAAAAATTATTTTAAAGTCTTAAACTTTTTCTGATTCTAAGCAAATAGGACAAATTTATCTTGAATATTTAGAAAAGAACATTATATATGTAAATTTTCAGATATTACTAAAAAAGTGTCAATTTTACGTTAAAATTGGCTAAATTTCCCCCCGGATTTTCAGAATATATTTACTATATTTGTCACACTTTGTTGATAGAATTCATAAGAAATAATTTAATTAATAGATACGAGGGGTGATCAAAAAGTTCCCAAACTATCTCTATATCTACAAAACCACAATTCAGATTAGAATGAAATTCGGTACACACATAGCCATACACAAGGTCTATAAATAGCATATGCTGAATAAAGTTTATGTCCTTGTTTGTGACGTCACAGTGTGAAAATGACGTCACTATTTAGGTCACTTGTGACGAAAAATTCTTGCCAGGAACTCATTCCAAACGAAAAATTTATTGTAATAAAAATCCCTCTACAGTATCATATAATAATTTGTACACAGTTTATTGAGATAAATGAGTTCCTATAAATTCAATTAATGATTGGATTAATCGTTTTAGTGAAGGAAGGCTGATGGTTAAAAATATACTGTCATCTTGCCCACTGAAAGCAATTTTGTATTTTTAATTAAGCAATTTGCTATCAAAGACCTCAAATTAGCACTTTGAAAAATAGTTGAATATTTGAACAATAATATAAGTATTAAATACTGAAGATATCATTTACTTTAGATTTTAAACATATTAGATATGATAAAAAGGATGCAGCCATTCTCTATCCACCTTGAATAAAGGTCTCTCCTGAGACAGAAGATTTGTGTTTTAATGGTCGCCATGCTTATTTTTGGAAAGGATGTTATTATCCACCCATTCTGTTGCCAAGATATGACCATTTCTGACAAATTAACTGTTCTTGTCATAAAAATTAACTCACATGGAGAGAAATATAAAACTCAGAAAAATCTTTTAACTTTTGTGACAGAACGCTACGGAGGGGGTCACGTGAGCCAATATCACGTGATTCGGGCATGCGCAGAACGGTGGTTGATGGGCATTAAAATCGGGGAGGATTAATTTAAAATATAATCAACATTAAAACCAAATATTGTTTCTTGTATGGAAGTTATTCAATTAGTTTGCGAACTTTTTGATCACCCCTCATATTTCAGAACCAGCATAACACATTTAACTGCAAAAAACAGCTTTTTGTGCAACCAGGAAGGAAAAATAGGAATCCAAAATTAACAATACTGTTATAATTCAAAATGGAAAAACAGATCATTTACAATGGTTTAAAATGGTTCACAAAATATATTACATAAATGGAATTTACCCATGAATATCCATTTGATGCTAGAACTTAAAAATGATGCAGAATTTTATAAATATGACCAAATTACAAAATTGGGTAGCTATTAAATTCATTCCTTAAGTATATATATAAAATCAAAACAAGTTTTAATACCTTCCGTCATCAATGGAGACGATATCCATGACGATTTCTTGGTGGTCCATCAGAGTCTTATTACTGCGGATTGTCTCGATGTCAATGATAAATATTCCATATGACCCCGCCCACACGTGCTTCCTGTCCACCGCTACTAGACATGTCTACCAAACAAAAGAATATTATAATTACATATCGTCAGTTAGATAAATAAACCTAACATAAACATGTTTCACATAAAAATGTTGAGAAGTCAGCACTTGAACACACATTTAATCTAAATACCTAAAATATCATTAAACAAAATAGATAATTTAGAAAGCTTTTTCTCCACTAAAATCTAAATTTGATTAAGTTAGCTAAATTAAAAGATATTCTTCATTAGATATACAAAATTTTAACCCTTGATTGACCTATAGAAGCACATAATTAAATCGGATATACATTTGTAAATGGTTGAATCAAGAGGTTTCCAAAAAGAAGTAATGCCGCAATCATAATAAAAAGGTTTACAGACCACATACATACAATATATACATGTACTAGTACAAAAAGAGAGAATCGACAAAGGTCACAACAGCTCTCTTTGTAAAGGTGAGTTTCAAACATATGCATGCAAATTATACAATTTATATCGATTACAAAATTCTAAATTCATAACTATAAAAATGTTAATTTGTTGCACTATTTCTAATGCCCATTCATAAGTCATATGTGAAAAGGCAAGCAAAAGCTGTTTCAGACATGCTATCTAAAGATTGATACAAAATATCATTGCAATCATGTGATGTCCAGTATTTGCTTGAAAACTCATGCCAACATGCAATTCACATAAGCAGTTCCATTGGCCCTAAAATGTCAACAAGACCACACTCAAGCTGATAAAAAAAATCTGGAAGAGAAAATGGCCACTGACCTCCACAGTCACTTGGGTTACTACTGGTGTGATGAAATAGAACCCCCCCTTTTTTTTTTAAATTAAAAGTAGTTTTAGACTACTTTAATCAAAACATGAGGCCCATGGGCCACAATGTTCAAATGAGTCACCATGAACCTGCAATTCTTCATTATCAGATTAAAAAATAAAACTCTATATTTTCATAAAAAAATTAAAATTGTATAGAGGATATTCAATGTTTTGTAGTTGAATATGGAATTTATTTCACAAGTGGGACAGGATTTTTTGATATTTTCACGAGTGCGAAGCACGAGTGAAAATATAAAAAAATTCTGTCTCACGAGTGAAATAAATTCCATATTCAACTACAAAACATTGAATTTTCTGTTTATTACATTTTTAAAAAATATTCTTTGATTTTTCCTTTGCCTCTGTCTTTTTGTAATACAGTCATAGACTCGTGACGTCATAGTTGAGCGGTTGAGACGTCATATCTAAGTGAGGTAAAAACACTGTAAACATGGATTTAGCAACATATTTTTGGTAATTTTGACAGTTTTATTTGCTGTCAGAATGGTTTATTTATTTCCATCTATCTTATATTAGGTTAAGGAAGATTTTTTAAGAGCAATCTTCGTTATGGGAAGGGAAATCGAGAGTTTTCCCGCACTTCTGATATTCGTCACACTGTGACAGGATATCATTTTGATATCCTTTCACACTGTGACAGGATATCATTTTTATTCAATGAATAAATTACAGTATTTCACGGGTAAAAATGTAATAAATTGAAGTATATGACAAAATATGTACCGGGTATGTACTCTATCATATTCTTTTATACAATTTTTCAAATGGTACTTACTGAATTTACTAGACATGCAATTACAAGTGAGCCCATTTTATATACATAATTCTATGGCGTCTATATTTGGACGTTTTTCCAAACGTTTTTTCTTACATAATATTTTGAATTTTCATTTCAAGATCAATACATTTATAACAGATAAACATAATGTAAAAACAAGTTTGGCGTTCTAGAAAGCCTGAAATGTCATCTCTTTGGTATCAATAATGTCAAAGAAAATAAAAGGGAAAGGGAAATATTTTAATGCAATGAATATATGGATTATTATACCTGAAGTTCCCAAATGACTTATTCAGCAAACAGAAAACTAAGCTGACAGGTATTTAAACATAAGCAAGAGCTGTCCAAAGATTATTTCTACCCACGTAGCTCCATAGGCACTTGGGATATGGACCCCCCCCTTTTTTTTCTTTTTAAATCTGGGTTCGAGACACCTTTTTCCTATTTTTTTAATTCTAATATGCACTATATGTTATCAAAAATGCAACTCTTTTGTCTCTACAAGCTGTTTTTAAAAATGCCGTTTTCCACTGATACATATATAGAGAGAAGGCTTGCAACTCTTTTTCTAGTCATCCGCCTCACCTCGCTTAAACTTCGCTCGATTAATTATCTAAATCACAATAAACATGGGATATGCATACATTAATAAATTTTTTATACATTCGTCTTCCTTTTCATATTTCCATTTAATTTTTATATTCCCCCGATTTGTGAATATTTCGATGAAATCACCCGTATCTAGGGTAAATTTTGTTGATGTGCACCAACCGGGACGGAAGTGCCTATGCGTAGCTCAAGTATTTAAACCTTTCGAAAGAAGCCACCTTAGTTTACCTACGTTTTGTTCACTTACATTTTAGGAAAAATGAGGGGCAGGGTACCACGCAGTGATTTAACTATTGATACTACCTATATATTTATTAATGCCTATAAAAGTGATTTTTCCTTCTTATTGTACGTTAATCACAGACTGCTTTTGATTCATTTTACCGATATAAAAAACAATATTCAAGGATTTCTAAGAGAGGGATGAAGTGTCTGACAATAATAATCATTCATTTAAAAGCAGCTTATCATTAAAGTTTGGCAGGAATTAATTTAATAAATTCAATTACAGACTAAAAAAATAACATAAAATTAGGCATAACGTTGACCACTCTTCATTCATTTTTTGCAGAATCTAATTATAATTTAATCTTTGAATGAAATACTTTGCATATTTATTTGTATTTATTTCGACTGTAAAGCACATGAAGTATGCGTATAAATTTAAGCATCGCACTCCCTGCTGTTAGGTTAATTTTACTTGGATTTGGTCTATAATGCACACCTGTAAGCTTGTTTTTTTTGTGCGAGAACCAGTTTTCCCTTCGCGTCAACAAATCTATATACATTGTATTCCCCATTTTCAAAAGTGAGTTATCTCCCCTCAAAATCGGAACTCTTCTACACTAGCCTAACTTCCGCGGACTACGCAATACCATAATCTAACAAAATAGTGATAAACTTACGCGCTGTATTTAAAAATTTTAAAAGAAGGAAACGGTTTGTATTTTTTTTTAGATAATAAATTATTTTATAAAGGGTCTGTTAGCCCCCCCCCCTTTCTAGAAAGCTATACGAATTAGCCAGGCACGTAGCATCGTCTTTAAAAAGGGGAGGGGGTAGGCAAAGAAACATTTTTTCTTACCTTGAAAAGTTGGCAAGCAAAGAAAAACCTTGCCCAAAGTTGAAAAAGCTACTTATTTCAGTACCAGTTCCTTGGCATACAATACTACATTTGCCTTATATAACTTTACCGTAGTATTAACTATGTGTGTGTGTGTGTGGGGGGGGGGGGGGGTTGGCAACCTGTCTATCAATTAACATTTTCAAAAGAAAAAGTAAAATTGGGGAAAAAAAGTGGGGGTGGGGCTAAGCCCCTTAACCCCCCCCCCCCCCGTGCGTACAGGTACAGAGAACGAATAATTATGTAAATGGGTTGAACAGTTGAATATGAACCATACTTGTGAAAATTGAAAATTATTAGAATTATTAGTTGTGATTTCAATAAAATTACGGTACATATATTTTTTCACAGATGTACATGTATGTCAGTTACACGGGGTTACATGAGTCTCTCTCTCTCTCTCTCTTTCTCTTTCTCTCTGATATTGTTTTTTACACTCTTTGCAAAAAAGAATAACTTATAAAAATAAATACATGTACTTACACTGAAAGGATTTTAAAAAAATAAATAACACTTGAGAAAAGAATGTTTTCCGTTAATAAACGAGAAATACGCTAGGAAATTATTGTATCAATTTCGTGTTTCTGCTCTCAATTCTCTGATCTTAAACAAGATGTGTATTTTACTCGGAAATATACATGTACATATGCGTAGATCCTACACTAAAACTTTGATTAACTGCAGCTCAGACTTTATACGACATATGTAACACGAATTCAGGTCGATGCTATTTTAATTAGTCTTTCTTCGTTACATGAGCACATGAGATTAAATTATTCATTTAGAATTCCATTCAAAGTTTTAATACTATATAGTGAATCTATTATTTTACAAATTAAAAATTCTAGAAACACTGTTAATTCAAATGAAATAGGCCTTTAATTGTCACCAAATGTGTTCTTGTAAGTAAAAGTTCTATGTTATGACATACAATCGAGCAAAAACGCAGTTTCTTGGTATGGGTCGCGGAAAACGAACTACTGCTGTATATGCGGCAATTTCAGAGGTAAAACTGTAGATGGACATGTCATCAGTCTCCAAAAAATTCCTAGAGATACAAAAAAAATAGGGCTGCAGCAGGCTAGATTATTTCGTAAAAACTTTCCATAACTAAAATTTGTTCCGCACATTTTGTTAATAATGATGATCCGTCTGCAGAACATCCACTACCGAAAATTAGCTTATTAGCTTTTTTTAAATAGGCCTATTCGAATATGTGTCAGCATTTTATTAGTAATTTGTTTCGTTTTTTTTTTTGTAAGGGGGGGGGGGGGGTGGTCACACAGCACCTTATTATAGTACTACACAGATTAATACAAATCCAGAAAGAGACTATGAGTGGGCAATTTAAAAAAAAATACGAATCAGTTAAGATTTCTTTTTATTCACAAACACAATAACATTTTTCCATATGACAGAGGCATTACACCATGAACATGTTTTCATCCACTCTCTACCATCGGCTCATACATTCCCATTGCAGAGGTGTCTGAGAGAGAAACGAACGACAACTCTGCATGGGAGATTGGTTTTCATCAAGAACGTCCGCGGCACTCGGCACACCTCGGCCGATTCGTACCTCATCTTGTTTGATGTAGTTCACGGAATCAGCCGAGGTTTGCCGAATGCGTCCGCGGAAGTGACTTTATTTATAGCGCATGCGTATTAAACACAGTAAAAAGAGTTCCCTTCAGGGGAAATAACTCACCTTTTGAAAATGGGGAATAGAAATCACGTCATTGTCAATTCTCCTTGTGTGGCTTACCAGTTTAATAAGGCATAGTATTGAGGATCAATATATATACGACACACCGAAATATAGGTATTTATAAGCATCGTACTTCTTTTCTAAATTATCCTTGCCTTTCAAATAGGCCTAAACCGAAAGTAGATCACACACTTCTAAGCTAGTTCTTCTAAAATAAAACAAGTTTAAAGGCTTCTTGGAACTCCTTGTGTAGATTCTCACTTGAGATATTGTAAAACATCGAGGATTCTCGAAAGGTTAATGGAGGCTTACACTAGGACTTCACTTCCGGCATACAATCTTAATGTGTCATCTCCCGAGGGAGATGACAATAAAACAGGCTTTAGTTATTTTGGGTGGGGCAGGGATGAGAATTTAGTAATATTGATTTAATGTGAACGAAGATGCTTTTGTGAATCAGTTCTACATTATTCAGCACAAATTTTTCAAATTATGCTACCATTGGTATATACTATTTAATATGTTTTACGGTGTGACCGTTGGGGCGAGCGCAGTAATTTACACTTAAAAACCTATACACAGATTTTACTTGCACTGTCTATCCTCAGTTCATTAAAATAAGAGGAAAAAACAGAATAATTAGAAAGAGAATTCACATCCCAGACATCGGGATCGAGATTCCGAAATTCTCGGAAGTTTCCGACAAAATCGGAAATACCCGAGCCGTGTAAGTGACGAAAGAATGACGTCAAATTAAAAGTTCTGTTGCGTTTGGACGCAAACGATTGTTTTTTTGGCATGGAGATTGCATTTAATCATTGTTTGTAATTTTTTCAAGTAAGTTGTTGCTATGTTTAAGCTACCATGTTGCTATGCACCGCAAAGGATTATTGGGAGTTTGGAATCTTTTCACGCGGTGAGATAAAAATTTCTTGGAACAATGTGCAGATTTCAACCCGAATTTCCTCCGTTCGTACACGTTAGTCTATTGAGCTCGCTACGCGAGCGGCGCTTGGCGCCGCCTCGCTGCGCTCGCCTTTAATGATTTTCCATGAGATGGCAACTCAATAAATCTGTCTCTAAGGATGCTTTCACTAGATTTTATTATGTTTATGTAAAAAATTTCTGGAAAATGTAAAAAAAAGAAAAAATTGGCTGCATCAGAAGACAGATAAAAATAAGCCATATATGGAATGGAATAGCTAGGTTAGAAGAGCTAATGAGAGATGGTTATCTATAACAACAATACCTGATATAAGAAGCATAACAAAGCTTAATTCTTAATTAAACAGCATTCAAACCGTTTCTCTAATCATACATACCACACTTTCTTCTAAGCCTTTTTATTCAAAGTGTTGAAAAGGAATAACTGAACCACAGGGGCATCTTATCCACTCTGTTCTCTACTTCACATATAAAAATACACAAGGGAAGAATCGAAAGTAGCACACGATTTTTAAAAAAAGTCAAAAAACAACTTACTTGAGAAAAGTTACACAAATCCTGAAAGGAACTAGCGCAAATAATGTCCTAGTACTTATCCAGGTTAAAATATTCCAGATATATCCATCGTAAATAGCTTTTATCCAACTAAAACCCCAGCTTTCTGCACAGTGTGAATCTCTACGCCCAAGAAAAGATAACTCACCCGGATGACAATAGGGTAGTGCCCGAAGTCTTCCAATGGCACTCGGAAGGCCTCAGGCACTATCCTATTGTCATCCGGGTGAGTTATCTTTTCTTGGGCGTAGAGATTCACACTGTGCAGAAAGCTGGGGTTTTAGTTGGATAAAAGCTATTTACGATGGATATATCTGGAATATTTTAACCTGGATAAGTACTAGGACATTATTTGCGCTAGTTCCTTTCAGGATTTGTGTAACTTTTCTCAAGTAAGTTGTTTTTTGACTTTTTTTAAAAATCGTATGCTACTTTCCTTCCCTTGTGTATTTTTATATGTGAAGTAGAGACAGATGGAGTGCCCCTGTGACTGAACGTACATGTATTGCATATGCATACTCATATGTATATAGGATCCAAATTAACCTGCAATTGTATTTATCACTTCTGTAATCCAGATTGAAACCCATGGACAAGAAATACTTTCTTTGACAAAGAAGAATACAAAGTAACCTAGTTAGAATAATCTAACTGTATCTCGGTAAGGCCCTCACCACAGTTAGAATACCACCCATATACTCGCAATGTTGCAAAAAATTGCAGAATCGCACCGAAACGAAGAATTTAAAATGATTTGCACTGGGAATAACTACCAAAATAATCAAAACAAACCTTCTTGAGATTGCTTATGCCTTTTATCCCCCAAAATAATCCATTTAAATACGTAAATCCAATTAATTTTCTCAACGTTTTTCTCTCCATTCAAATGTTTACATTCGGAACTCTCTAGATTGTTCCTAGTAAATGTACTATCGCCCGTGCTACATTACGAATACAGGGAATGAATTCTATCGTTAAACCGGGTCCGTAGGACAATATCATTTTAACGATAGAACATTCTATCTAAAAGTAAGAGTCAAAAATGTTTTGTACTAACATTTTACTTTTTAGGTTATTTACTTTCATCACTTCTGAATTAAGAACTTTCCCATAGTATTTAATTTACAGCATCAACCACACAATACTAGTGAACTTTTCAAGAGAATCTATAATGTTGTGCAATAGCAGATACACATTGTATTTTGTTGCTTGCAATGACTATTGTGAAACAGAACCTAGCTGGCTAACAAGTATCTCAACATCTTGACCATCCTACAACCTCAGAGTTATCTCCTTTTGATACAACATCAAGGGATATTTTATACTATACTCCAATTTTTATGACAACCAAGCAAATAAGAAAACGAGAAATCAAACAGTCATTTAATGCTTTATACATGTATCAATAATGCTGACCTTTGACCTTTACAACAGTATCATATTTTGTACCATAAAAGGGTGTTTACATGAAAACAAAACATTTTGCCCTTGACCTTCCAATGAAAGGTCAATTTTTTTTCTAGTTATTGCATCACAGTGGCCATATCAATAATCTAAACCTCGATCTCCGAGTCCAATTAGATATCTTCCTCTTATGAATCTTTATGCATTATATACACTACAAATGAGATTTCAGCTTGATTTTTTAACAGGCTCCAGGGCTATAAAACTTAGATAAGCTCACTTTTGATCTCAGTCTCACTTTTATCAAAGGAATTAATAGTAGAAAAGTAAGCTCATCTCACTTTTATGGCCCTGAGGCCAGATCTACAAATTTAAATAACTTTAAATAACCTATAAGAAAGTTTTCTGAGCATTTTACATTTTTAAAACACACTAATACCACCAGTCCTTCTGAATGATGATATCTTGCTGAGTATTAATCTTAACCATGCTGTAAATAGTCCACATACACAGAGCCTACACCACTATTAGTTTTATAATCACATACACATCTATTAGTATAGGGAGCTTAAGGAAACCAATGAGAGATTTTGTGCCACAGAGACAACAGGTTGATATACTGAAGTTTTTCCAGTGAAGCTACAGGAATTAACACAAACAGCCATCAAACTTACACATCCCTGGATTTCTAACTTTTTTCTGCTGGTTTGCTGAAATTTGGGGTGAAATGACTTCAAAAGATCATAACATGTATAAAGCACAAACAATAAAACAATAATAGCAAACATGCCTATCATAAATCAGGCTTACGACCTCCTAGCAAAGTGACTTTTATTTCCTGTAGTGTGAAAAGAAAAAAAATCTTGAACATGGTTATGACATTTTGGCATTTCACTATAAGATTGTTTTACTGTAAATGGATAAAGGTCTGTAAATGCTTAAGAATGCTTGAAATAAAGATTACATTGACAAGAATATCAAACAATTGTACTAAATGTCAATAAGCAAACTCTTATACACTATGGCTACTTGACTACATAAGATGTAAAAGGATAACACTTTAATATAACAAATGTAAATAACGCGTAAAATCTTGTCAGTTACATCATTCTGATTATTGATTTGTTGAATTCCTCACAATACTTTATCAGAAAAAAAAAACTAAGAAGTTGCATGGTCTGGTCAATAGAAAGCTTTTTATATAGTTAAATCATAAAACTTATGCAGCCATTTTATCCAATATATCAATGCAAAACATATTTTTACTATCATTTATAGAGAAGACAGAGAGAAGGAGGAAATTGAGATATCTGCCACAGACTCTGATGTATTCGCTTCTGGCTGGCAAATTGTTTTAGTGCAATGTCTTGATAATGCAGTTAATATCCAAGAACATGTGATTCAAAATGAGGTTATAGAGGGGAGGTAACTCACCACACTTTGTTTTGTCTGGACAAACTCGGACTCCAGAAGCCAGTGGGAGGCGTTGTACACCTTAATCTTCCCGTCTCCCAGCCCCACCCATAAACGGGGAGAGATGGAGTGCTCAGGAACTGAAAGTAGATATAAATAATGTAAAATATCTACATCAAGCCCCACCCACAGATGGGGAGAGATGGAGTACTCCGGGACTGAAATAAGATATATCTAATGTAAAATATCTATATCAAGCCCCACCCACAAACGGGGAGAGATGGAGTGCTCAGGAACTGAAAGTGGATATAGCATACTTAAAATATCTAATATTGGAGCCACAATAATATAAGAATGAATGAATTCATGTAGTCATACATGCACTACTACATACAAGACTAGTATGCAAAAATAATTAATCACTTGTAGTCTACCTATTTCATGCATTTTGTTCTGAAAATATCTTCAAGATTAAGCATTTTCAGGTGAGTTTATTGCTACATCCTACATGTAACAGTGTGTACTGTATCTTTCATTTTCTCACCTCCTGGGGTATACAGTAGAGCGTGTACTGTCTTCCTCTCTCGTTCCCCGTAGTTGGGGTCAATACGGTTCTGTAACACCTCCTTGGTTTCCTGGGGGAAAATTTGACCCTCCTCCCTGTACTTTCTGTAGAAACACAGCTGTCTTGGCCTCCTCCCGGTTATTATGGTGAGCTGTCTCCTCATCAAGGCCACTGAGGGAGAATAAACACAAGTAAAACAATGGCTTTTCAATGTTAATAAGGGATTATGTGAACATGTAAAGCATTGGTTTATCAAAAAATTGAAATTATAATTCTTGTATGACATTGTGATATGTCAAAAGTCAAATTTTAACAATTTCATTTTTTTCGCTGATGATTAAAAAAAGAGAATTATGATTATACTACACAAAGTGACATAATTTAAATGTATTGTTTTTATATGCATTGTCTTGTGTTATAACTTTCCTATAATATCTAAACCTTAGTGAACATGACACATGATGATTATGACCTTTCATTACATTACCCCTACCTCTGCAGCAGTGTGTCCACCTTTCATTATTTTACCCATACCTCTGCAGCAGTGCATCCACCAGCAGCACGTTCTGGGCTGCCTTCTGTATGGCGTGGATGTCCTTCGTGGACTCACACACAATTTTACCCGCCCACATCTCCTCAATCAACAAACAAAAATCATCCCTCTCTTCCTTCAACCAAGCTGTGAACCTACTCCCATCTATAACAAACAGCTCAATGAGCTCATATGTTTATATATAGCTTAACACTGAAAATCAACAGCATAACAAAATGAAAAGTTCAAAGAATATGACAATCCCCCAATTTTTGTAAAGCTATACTACTTTTATGTACTTCAACTTGGCCTATATCAATTTCAGTTTGATAATTTTATACAAGAATCTATCACATATGTTTTCTTGTGTGAAATAATTCCATTTTACTCGTTTAATATTAAGGATTAAGATATATTTAGATATTATCAATATAATTTTTTTGGTGGGGCTGGAGGGGGAGGGGGTGATTACACTCACCTTTGTTTTTGATCCTTAGGACCTTGACCTGCTTTAGGAATGAAAACATAGACTTCTTCTCCAGTTCTTCTATCTTACTCAGTCGCATAATTTCCCTCATCTCAGTGGAAATGTCTTTCACAAAGCAAAGTCTGAAAAAACATTTTTTCTTTTTAAATGATTCAGAACAAGTATACATGTAAAATTGAAATGCATGTTTGACATATGTTGAAAATATGTTGCAATGTAACCTGTGTAGCCATGTGCTTTTATGTATTCTTTTGAAAAGCACAACCAAAAATGACACACTAACTTTTAAAACTAAACATCATCTCAAAGGTTTCAGCTTTTCCAACAGGATACAAGTATTATGAAATAAAGCTCTGGACTAAGATTTACCACAGAGAGGTTAATAAGCCTTGACCTTGATCTAAAAATATGGTTTTATTTCTTCATCTTCTATACATGAGCAGTCTACAGGTGAAGTATGAGCCTGACTGGGCCAAGAGAAAAAGTTTACACAAAATGAAACAGTTTCAGAACAATTTACCTTCTGTCTTTTAGGACCACTTTTCTACAAGTCTGTTAATGGGGATATTTTTTAGAGTTAATCTCCATGCGCCATTGTCTGTCTTACATAATGAGGACACTTTAAGGATGTTTTACCTTTGTCTGTGAGGGCCACCCTCCCTGTACCGTAGTCTGTTTTACATAATGAGGACATTTTGAGGATGTTTTACCTTCTGTCTGTGAGGGCCACCCTCCCTGTACCATAGTCTGTCTTACATAATGAGAACACTTTAAGGATGTTTTACCTTCTGTCTGTGAGGGCCACCCTCCCTGTACCATAGTCTGTCTTACATAATAAGGACACTTTGAGGATGTTTTACCTTCTGTCTGCGAGGGCCACCCTTCCTGTACCATAGTCTGTTTTACATAATAAGGACACTTTGAGGATGTTTTACCTTCTGTCTGCGAGGGCCACCCTTCCTGTACCATAGTCTGTTTTACATAATGAGGACACTTTGAGGATGTTTTACCTTCTGTCTGTGAGGGCCACCCTTCCTGTACCGTAGTCTGTTTTACATAATGAGGACATTTTGAGGATGTTTTTACCTTCTGTCTGTGAGGGCCACCCTCCCTGTACTGTAGTCTGTTTTACATAATGAGGACATTTTGAGGATGTTTTACCTTCTGTCTGTGAGGGCCACCCTTCCTGTACCATAGTCTGTTTTACATAATGAGGACATTTTGAGGATGTTTTTACCTTCTGTCTGTGAGGGCCACCCTTCCTGTACCGTAGTCTGTTTACATAATGAGAACATTTTGAGGATGTTTTACCTTCTGTCTGTGAGGGCCACCCTCCCTGTTCCATAGTCTGTCTTACATAATAAGGACACTTTGAGGATGTTTTACCTTCTGTCTGCGAGGGCCACCCTTCCTGTACCATAGTCTGTTTTACATAATGAGGACATTTTGAGGACACACTCTGCCTCCAGGAGGTCATCTTCATTAATGGTCAGACTCAAGCACTGCTTGCTGTTTTCCTTCCAGCAGTGGGTAAAAGAGGCAAAGGTTTCCTGATCAATGACTGAAAACAACAAAGGTTTGACTTATCAATGACTGAAAAGGACAAAGAACAGTTGGACAGTGGGAGTGACCATTAAAAAGTCTTACCCACACATAATCATTTAAACATTGATTTTTTTGTCTAAGCATATTTTCTATATTTGATAGATTCTGATCACTGGCACTAAACATAATGATCACTAATAGATAAAGTAAAACCTTTTACATTGAGAAATCTTACAGTTTTGGTGGATTTGTGATGGAGTGAGAGCACGGAATAATCGGCCTATAGTGTCTGTGTCACTGGTCATCTCCAACATAGAGACACATTCTACAAACTCATCATAATCTGTAGAGAAAAAATAAAAAATGTTGTTAACCACTGCATTCGTTGGTCATCTCCAGCATACAGACACTCTTCACTAATTCATCATAGTCTGGCATGAATACATTCAAGTTATAATTTAACCCTGCATTACATTCTTAAAACAAAATAATCCATAATAGTAAATAAGCAGTAAAAGTATCTAGTAACAAACGAAATAGCCTACAGAGATCTTTCTGTGGTAGATTGATGGATTCCTCAAACTTCTTGTGACTGTGGATGACAGACTCCGTGACCGTGGGTCCCACTATGTCCGGCAGGGCATGAAATCCTGGCTTGGCCATTAACTTCTGTAACTCAGACTCTTCCAGCTGTTGACAGATCTGTTGAACCACTCTACAATAAGAGGAGACTGATAAATGGATGGATTCCCTATTGGTAAGACATACCACCAGATGTATCATGTTAATTTTTCACAAATGTCTTTAGCTAAAATATGGTATATTTTAAAAGAAAGGGGGAAATTATTATTTCCTTAGATGTGCTATCCATTCAAGTTTCGTAAAAAATAGGACCTATACATATACATATAGTTACACTTGGCTTTGCATTACTCAATATTGATACTTTTTGGAGATAGTACCAAACCCTATTTACTACCTCAGAAGTACTGATCACTTACTGTTTTGGTAAGATCTGGGTGTCAATAGCTGCCAGTGAGATAAAGTTCTCCAGAGCCAGGATCAGTTTGTTACAGGCAAGGTAGAACATTCCCAGTAAGTAGATGTAGGAGGCCCGCTCCTGGAAATGCTGGCTTTTCTGGTGAAATAAAATATACAGTAAACTTTATTAATGGTATCTAAAATACCATGGATATGGCAAAGTGAGTTTAAAGCTTCAACCTCTTTTTATCTCAAAGTTTTTCTTGACTTGTTGGCAGAATCTTTTTACAGTTTTGTTATAAGCTCCTAATCGTACCTGTACAGCAATAGTCAGAAGTTTGATCGAGTCCTTCAGGTAATCTATTACTCGATTCCCAATGTCTGGCATCTTCAGTACTGGGGAATTCTGGGAGGAAAGAGCATTCATGGGAATGATAGCGATAGAATTCTGCTTCCGTAACTGGGGACGCCTGAATATATAAATCAAATTTGAAGTAATCTAAAATATTAAGAAAACAAATAATAAAAGAAGCATGCCTTAATAAAGCACACCAAACAGTGAAATGAGGAATCAGATACATGGATTATAATACATGTATCTAATATTAAATTGTGTTTTCTGAACATTTATGGAAGATGTCAATGTCATATACTTGTAACCAAACAAGCAATCAGGAAAATTTTAAACTTCTTATGAATCTTTTTCAAGTTTTCTAAAAAGAATTCTTTCTTCATTAACATTTTACAGAAATACATTGCATCACTTTCTTAATTAGAGAAGGTGAATCCCTTCTGCTTACCTGCTTGGAACGCTGGGTCCACTTTCCGAGATTTTAGCCTGCGGCCTTGTTTTGACCTCTAATTTGACCCAGTAGTCTGTTTTATCATTGATACGATCCTTAAGAAACTTTTTAAACATGCTTGTCTTCAGAACTTGCTCATAAAAGCTTTTCTCTGCTCCAGACTTAGAATCTAAATAAGCTTGTTTGTTAAATCTTTTAAATTCTACACGAGTTTCTGTTACCACACTCCTGAAAAAAAAAAAAACCAAAATCAAGTACTAGATGAATACAGCTGTTAAAAAGATATATAACATTTTACTTTTAACTTTAGAAAAATTTATCTGTTTTTATTATTTATTTATTTATTCTTTTGCAATCTTAAACTGTTTGCCAAGAAAAGGGAGAATATAATTATCTCTATATAAATATGCCAGCTATACAGTAACTTATCTTCACAGATAAACCATAAAAACAATCATATGCAAACAGACAGACCAACTATGGTAATCTACAGGTAAAGAGAATAAACATACCTAAATAGATTAACCATGAGTTCTAAACATCCAGCAACAATGAACTCATTCAAAGCTTGAATTTTTCTTTTTCTGTATGCTCGCTCAGCTTTTAGGTCAAAATGACTTGGTCTGAAAATGACAAAAAATTAATTTAATGGAATTTCAATACAAGCATTAAGAGAACCAAAATATGCTGCCTTTAACCTTCACTTTTTCTACATATATTTTCAAAACCAACTATTCTCCTGTAAGTAATATTATGCTGACTACCTTTGTGTATCAACAAGGTCAAACTGGAACTTGGCTTTGCGGCAGACCTTGAGGAAGAGTTGTGCTGCACCGTCAGGGATTTCTGGGATATCCAGTAAGTCCTCGATACTGTCGCTGTCCACAGAAACGGAAGATCGGGAGTCCTCGGCTAACTCCGGGTTTATACTCAGTGACCCCTCGTCTATATCTACCACCACCAGACCTCCAACCTAACAACAAAAAAATGTATATATAACGAGATTATAGATAATCCAATAAAAAGTCTCAGTGGTCGGCATTAAATACTTAAAATAAAAAAGAAAAACACGAAAAACTTCAGTAAAGCTTTAGGCCTTTCATTCTATCTTCAGAAGCTTTACTAAATCACCATTACAAAATTACAAAATTTTGTAAAGCTTCTGAAGATAAAATGAAAGGCCTAAAGCTTTACTGAAGTTTTTCGCCTTTTTCTTTTTTATTTTAAGTATAACGAGATTATATACATAGTATAACCTTTACAGTAAATAATAATATCAAATATATATATATAACATATTACAATATGTACAATATATGTATTTAAATGCTTATTTATGAATAAAATAAATAAAAGCTTTTCCCCTCTTTATTTAGTTTTCTTGACTGATAATTGGGTAATTACTAATATTATTTTAGAAGTCGTCTATAGAATTTTTCTTATACTGACCTGATTGACTTGTTCCTTGTATTTGGAGTGGCAGCCCATCATGAATGTCCCTGGGGCATCCAGCAGTTCTATAGATTTACTGGACAAAATCGGTACATAGGTGTACTTCCACTCAAATGGTAGGATAAAGTTTAAGAAGCTCTGAAAGAACAACAGTGATCAACAAGAGAACCATAGGTGTAAAGGGTCAGCTGAGTTCATGCTGTGACAAATTATTAAGCCCTTCAGGGACTGAAACTTTGAAAACTTGTTGCCAGTTTACAACTTAATGTTCCCTTTCAGATTCTTGATACTATAAAACAAAATTTCCTGAAACTGATATGACCATTTTAGAGAAACTGAAAATATCATAAAGTTCATGCACTTTATAAGGGAAATGATAGGAGTGACTCCGGTGACCTAAATATAATAAATGTGACATTTCCTATACTCTGAATTCTGTTGACTTTAACATGCCTTCACTATAACTGACCTCCATAACCACAGTAAGTAAGGCATAATTCGAGGCGATGAAGACAATACGATGTTCCACCAGGATAGAGGATATTATCCTCAGTATTTCCTCTGGGGGGAAGATCAGGAAAGGGAGGTACAATGGAATGTCAATCACTTGTTTCTCCGCCTCCTGGGAGGGTCGTATGATGAATGACACATCCTGGATACCAAACTCCTGAAAAAATTATATGTATTAATGGTAGATGATAAGCAGCTTCATTTGTACTTCTATTGATCTTTATTTGAAGGAGAATAGATTATTAATTAAAAATTCAAGCCACATAACTAAAAAATTCTCTTAATATTTCAGCTTTTATCTTTCTCTTTTTTAAAATAAATGTTCTTTTACTTCTGGGCAACAGCCTGTTACCAAAGCATTACACATCAAAAACTGCAGTCTGTGTATACTTACTATGGCCACCCTTCCAGCGGGGGGTACTGGTGTCATTGTCAGTTTGTGGGTGAATAGTTTGATGAGGGTGTAAATCTATACTTACTATGGCCACCTTTCCAGGGGTGGGGGGTGGGGGGGGGGGGGGGGGGTACTGATGTCATTGTCAGTTTGTGGGTGAATAGTTTGATGTAGGTGTAAATCTATACTCACTATGGCCACCCTTCCAGCGGGGGGTACTGGTGTCATTGTCAGTTTATGAGTGAATAGTTTGATGTGGGTGTACATATCCTCCTGTCCTGTTTCTATCTGGTGAACCATACTGACAACATAAACAAGTCTGCATGAAATTCATTTACTTATGATAAATTTAATAGGAATTAAGGAGTCTGGCTCATAATTGCTCAAAAATGTTATTCAATCAAAAAATCGGGTAGTTTGATTCCTGCATAAACAGACAGTATAAGTGGAAATTTTAGCGAGATGCAAATTTAGCATTTGGCCTCAAAAATTGGCATTTTATTTTTAGTGAAATGTAATTTTAGTGATTTTAAAAAGGTTACTAAAGAAGTTATTACAAATAAAGCACAATTAATTTTTAGCGATATTCAATTTAAGTGATCTTGGCACCCTTGCTAATAATGCCAAAATTAAATCCTCTCTAAATTCTGCTTATACAGTACATCAAATACATTTCCTGCCAATACAAGGAACAAGGTACAAGGAACAGCTGATTTTTCTGTGGGAAGGGAGATATTTACTGGAGTTACTCACTAGGACAGACAGTCCTTCATCGTCTCAAAGTAGGGGTATTTAGAAATGAGGACACAACAAAGAGGAATGAAGCAGCGGACATTTTCTGACGTGGTCGTTGAATTGTCACCTGATAGATCCAGGTGTGGAATTAAGCTTCCATCATACTCCTAGAAATAACAGAATAAATTTATAATTATATGTAATAATCTTTCTGTAGCACCCTATATAATAAAAATATCACTGTAAGGCACTTTACATAGAATGTACATAAAACTTTGCTTAGTACATAACTTAAGACCAATATTGAAAATGTTTTGCAAAAATAAAAATATGGTTGATTAAAAGTCTAGTAGTAAAAAAAATATCTGAAGAAGAATTCAGAAATTACAACAAGCTCCTACAAACAAAAAAAATAAAAATACTCCAACAAAACTTGAACGAGCAAAGCAAAAATTATGACATACTCTGACAAAAAAAAAAAAACGTAATAAAATGGAAAATCAACCCAAAAAGCAAAGTTTCATACACAACAGAAATAAAATGCTGATGGAAAACTCGGCCAATTAAAGCAAAAATATGACTTTGCATAACTTCCTAGTATGTCTAATTTTAGCCCTGCTTTTTTTTGGAGGGGGAAGATTCTGAAAAACTTTTCCTCATATATATTTAAATAAATTTGAATCCTTATTTGATGGGATATTTGCATATTAAAAATTGCTGTTCAGTTGTATTTCTATATTAAACTTTGACCGTTTTGTAGTCTCACCCTAACCTCAGATGCCATTGGCATAGTGTGTCTGGAAAAGAAGTGGAAAATGTAATAAAATTATGAAAGTTAATGAAGAAATGGAAGCTAAAGACTCACACTCAACAAAAATCACTAGTCACTTCAGCCTCTGTCTTAGGTGAGCTAAAAATGCTTAAAATATGTGAGAGGGACTTATCAATAATTCACTCAGATGGCTTGAGCTTTCTAACTTAAACAGAAGTAATGCTCATGTGATTAGACTGACCTTCTCCAGTAGGTAAGGTCTGTAGAAGGTTATACAGGTGGCATACGTCTTGTTGCCATGGATATCTGTCAGGACTAAAAAGTGGGTCAAGGTGTCACCTTTGTGTTTTGTAATTCGGAGATCATCTGTGAAAGAAAAGAAATATAAAAATGTGCCAGATTACCAGTACCCCATGCTTAAGTTATCTCTTCTTACACAAATATTTAAGCACATTGCTCTATAAAAATATATTTTAAAACAAATATAACAGATTTTTTGGGGTATCCCCCTGCTTTGTCAAATAAAATTTCACAAATTTCATTTTGCACCTGCAGAATGAGACTCATTTATGAAATTATGATGCAAATGTAATGACTTATTCATTTCCTGCTTTGTGACATTTAAAGTTCCTTAGCTATTTTCATAATATTTTTATGGAATTTTGCTCTCTGAAGAATGAATATAATACTGATTCTTTTAACTTGCACATAGATATGGCTAATTCAAAACTGTATTATGATAGTCATCTATATCCACACACCAGGGAAGCAGAAGTATTGGATGGACTTGATGACTTCATCAGGGACGGGAAACTGTTGATTGTTGACGAGGGGACTACAGTAGATGGATTTCTTTGTAATGGGACGCCGGATAGACATGTGTCGGCTGATTGACCCCGGGGTCACAGAGGTGCTCCTGAGGGTCATACGGGACTGGTGCATGGCTTTGTTAAATTTGCTCTTTGGGATGGAGTCAAGTGTGTTGTAGACATTGGCCGACTTCAGAAAATGGTGATGTTTAGTGTCATGCTTCAAATCAGACTAAAATACAAAGTATCATAAAGTCAAGCTTCAAATCCAACCAAGTACAAAGTATCAATGTTATTTCTATACTAGGCTTTGTTTCCATCAAAATTACAAATTATCAATGTTGTCATCATGTGTATGGTACTGGTTCAGAGTAGAAGGAAAATTCACAAAAATCATTTTTTTAATGCACCAGTGAACTGATTTAAGGAAAATGTTGTATATTATTAATTAAGATCTTTCTTACTGTGAAATGCCTATCATCTTTATTGAATTAAATAACAGCATATTGGATTAATTATTCCTGAAAATCATTAATAAACTGAGTGTCATATTATGGTCAAAAGTCACTGATCTTCCTGTCTCTTGACCAAAGTTAAACCTGGAATAAACATAATAATGGGTGTAAAATGATATGGAGTGAATTCCTACTTTTAATGTCCTATACAAAACAAGATTATTTTTCCTGACAATTTTGTCAAGAGCTGAATTTGAAATTGCAAATAGATGTATATGTTCATACAAACATGAAATAATTCAACATCCAATGTTTTTCTCTATATATATCTTTTAAGCATGCAATTAATTTAAAAGTATACTCTCGCACTTTGTGATATGATAAAATTGATGGAAACAATGTACAAACATTCCAGACTTCATATACATTTATGATTAACCCACTGGTCTGTCCTATACCATATGTGCATATAAATATTACTAAATAAAAAATCAACCTAAAAAAAATTAATTGCAGAACTATAGCTTACTGGAGAAAAAAAATTCTGGAGAGCTACAGTTCTGCAGCTACTCTTGATAGTAGACATGTCTCATTCACAATGTTACCTGAAGAAGAGGATACTCGTAGTCCTGCCTGGGGTGAGGGAAGAAGTACATCATCGTGTTGGAGGAGACGGCAGAGAGGACCTGGGGCTGGAACTTCATCTCAAACAGGTTCTCCAGGATTTCCTCCGGCTCCATCTACAGTATACCACATCAAACAAATGTATGATATAATATATTATAAGATATGACATACAGAGTTATTTTTCGCCCCAACTTATTTTTGCCTTTTCACAATCGCAGACAATTTTGACCCCTTTTAAATTTGTCCAGTCATAGTTTCAATTAAGAAATAATTATACTGTAGAATTCGCCCTGTTTTAAATTTGCCCAAATGAGGGTAGGGCAAAAAGGGTGAAAATAAAACAGGAGTGAAAATTTCCCTGTATACAGTACTATACATACAGGACAGATTTGTGACCAACAGAATAGTTCACAAAATATTGTGGATTTTATTTTTCTAATACAAACCCATTTTCAGTTTTAAAGCATACATTGTATATTCCCCTGAGTTGTTTCTAAAACATCTCAATTTTTTTTTCTTTTTAGATACAATCAACAATTAAAACTGTTTTGTTTTTACGAATACAAACTATATACAAATTTTCTCATCTTATTTTTAAAAAATATGAAAGAAGTATTATTTAAATGATTTTATATATAGTATTTTCATCTTCTCAATATTGACATCTATGATGAAAATGAAAAAAACTCAAAAAGTTTATTTCACATATACATTCTTTATATTAAAAAAGATGGTTTGGCTATACAGAGTAAAATGCATGAGAAATTGTTGAAACTAAGTTTTTTAAGGAAAGACATTCTATTTTTCAAACTCCCCAATTGAATCAAAAGAGGAAAACAAAATTCTCTCACAACATTATTTCATTTCTTCAGGACACCACCAACCATTTTACCAAAGATATGGGTCCTTGAGCCCTTTTACATTCCCATTGAAGTTAAGTGTTAGAACTTAATTCTACTTAACAGTGAAAAGACACAAGGAAGCTTCGATTACTGATGTAAACCAGTGTAACTTTAAAACGACACACAGATAGACAGAAACATGGAGAAAAAAGTTATGTGTGTGTTAAAAACACAATACATGGAGCATAGTAATTTTTTTTTTCAAACATGCAAATGGTATTTTTTAATTTGATAAAAAATGTAAAAATAAGAAATAAAAATTATTTAAATTATGCACTTTATATATTATATAGTGCATCATCTGAGACCAATGGTCAATCTGCCATACACTTACTGACTGGTGAATGGTGATGAGTAATAGACAAGATGACCGTGGGTATACAACAATGTGTTTAGTGTTATATATCTGCATTACCTAAGACTACTTAGGACTATGAGTATATAGGAATGGTTCTTAACACAGAGCATTTATAAGTGATTCTGTTGGATATCTTACATACAGAAACATTCAAGTACTACTAGAAATACATGTATAATAATTTAGATGCCCAATTAAGACAAGTGGTAAATCATCATGATGAAGACTATGGTGTAATGAATACTCACCAGTGATTTCTCTGGTATATAAGTCCCATCAGTTTATAATCATGTTGAAACAAACACTTACCCCTGATTTCTCTGGTATAAGTCCTGAGTTTTCATCCAGACCCGCCACCAACATCAGATCGATGAGGCTGTTCTGTAGCCGCATGATATCAGACCCGGCTAACCCGCCCGCCATACTGTTGTCTCCCCTTACCGCCAGGTCAAGTCAGCCAGTTCTAGTCCCATCTGAAAGAAAAATTAGAATCTCTTCTGTATAAAACACTGAAGTTAAAGCATGTGTCGATCTGTACCACTAATATCATGGCTTAGAATTCCTTCTAAGTTATGAACTATTACATCTCTGACCAATATTTGTAAGTGTTTGTATCTGAACAACAAACGTAAACAAATAAGGGGAGATCATTTCTCAGGACTAATCATTTACCTGATGATATTACGCTTGTCAACAGGTAAAGTGGACTGATTAGGCATATCCTTATCACAGCTACACAGAACACTAAACCTGTATAAAGTATCACATGTACAGGCCTCTCTTTCTATACATACAGATTATTAATACATGTATATTTATACATCTCTCTGTTGACTGGGCCAAGTAGGAAATTTAAATTTCATCCTATGATTTTACAAAATGAGCCTGAACAATACATAACTTAGGGAAGTCACACAAAGTGAAAGTGACTGAGGACATCAGAGGAAGTTGTCTTTGAAGTATGACATCAACTGATTCATTTCCTCACGGCTAGAAAAATTTTATTTAACAACATGTTTTAATAAATTTATATATATTCAGCATTTCCTAGAAATAACACACATTATAGTCTTTTATCATTTCAATGAAGTATATCTCAGGTTAGATATATGTATTGGTTGAAATGAGAATGAGAAGCAACCACAGACAGATGATTAATTATTCTGTTAAGAAAAATAAAATTGTAATCATTTGCTGCCAGATTATATTAGTGATGATATATTTTTTTGCATATGAAGTCTGTGAGTTTTGTATAAGCTTATATGTCACCAGCATCTTATCATAAATGTGGCCATGTACATTTAAACAAAACAGTACATGTACTTTACTTCCAAAACTGGACCTTGAAAAACTCATATAGATTGCATAATCTGGTAAACATTATTATATTTTTGTCAGATATACCTTCCTATAAAGTAAGTATTTTCTAGCAGATGTTGATCATGTAATCACTACTTAAATTCATCAAGTTGTATTGTACATACTATACACTCTGACTGTAAATAGAAAATAGGGAAGACTTTTATAAGTATGTATAGTTATCTCCTGTATTTGTATAGTAAATACAACTTACTTTTGCTTCTCTATATAAAATATAATGTAATGTATAAATTTTGCTTCTCTATATAAAATATAATGTAATGTATAAATTATGTGCACAGGGGAAGATTAACTAATTATCCAATGTAGAAAATTATGCCATAGATTAACAAACTTTAATCAAATTAATTAAACATATTTGGTCCATCAGTTCTTATAACCACTGGACTATATAATTCACAGTTCTAGTCCTCGATCTATACAATCCAGTAATTACAATAAAGCAAGGTGTATTAAGTGTTTAGTAAATAACACATCCAATCCCTGTTTCATTTTTAAAATCTCACACATTTGTTCTCTGCATGGTATTTGAATTCTTAATGATTTCTGTCTCTGAATAATGTACATGTAATTATATTGTGTAACAGTATTAAATTACAACAGGAACAAACCATTTCAATGTCTAACAGTTAATTCTTTTATAATCTTCAAAATTTGAGAATAAAGGAATGGAGATCAAACTTTATTATAAATTCATATAGTGTATACCACAGGCCTACATTGCAACTAAATATTTCCTTTCCCTGCTGAGAAAATAAAAGACAATTTCTTTGTTTAACATCCTTTCAAGAATTTTTCAATCCTTATTAATCTAGGCTGTGGAGGATTTCAAATTAAGACCTGTACTTGTCTCAATGTCGTTAAGCAAATAGGAACATTCTGTAAAATAGGACCTCTGTTTATAGGTCTCATCTAAAGGACCAGTCTCCACGTGCTGCAGAAAAAATGGAATTCACAACTTCAGGATCATGAACCCTTACCCTGAATCTGATGAGCATGTTATTTACGGACTTTTTAAAACTAGAAATTGTATTGTAACGGGACTGTCTAGGGGTTAGTCCCGTACATATAGTCCGAGTTCAAAGGATAAAAGAATGACAAGAATTTCAGTGTTTAAAGAATTACTATATTCTGTTGCAATATTTACAATTTACAAACAAACGTAAAAGATATGAAACAATATCATATAAAATCCAAGAATGCAATAATTACCATTGTAGAAATTTAGCCCCAGTCCCCAAAAATACGTCTGATCAGTAATTAATGATAATGTAGACTCTTCTGATTACACAATATACATAGCATATCATAATAGTAAACCCCGGCCGGGTACTATAGACCCGGGCGCGCCCAACCCGAACGGGTTATAAACAAAGGGGAATAACTCTAAACAACAAGTAATGACAAATAGAGGGAAATATGAATAAAATAAGGCACATATACATAAATACACTGTAATTACATGCAAATTTAATTAAATACAGGTAAAAACCACCACACTCCCCCTTCCTTAAGATCTAATGTGGATAAAAATACACATTAGTCTACATATATATAATCACATGTATGCTAATAAATACAAGTAATAAATAATTCAAAGCAACATACATTAAAATTCAATTATTATAAAATTAGAATGCACATGTATCTACATTCAGGACCTTTTAGATAGCAGACATTCAATCAATTACATGTACAGTAATAAACACACTTTTTAAACAATAAATAAACAATTCCAGAACTTTCACATATTTACACAGTTCATCAGTTGTTCGCATTCACTCCTCAAACAGTTTGTCCATCGCTCGCAACTTCCTGATCTCGCCCTCTAATTCCCGGTTCTTCTTCTCCAGTTGACGCCTCATTTCCCTCTCTCGCTCCAGTTCCGTTCGCTCACCGTCCTCTATCCTCTTTTTCACCAGTGCTCTCGCTCTTCCTACTACGTCCATGCTGTTGCACAGCCACATGAGGCACGACTGCAATTCCTCTGAATTACCTGCCTCTGGGAGGTTTGGTAGGTCAAGGCTGGGTAGGTTCACCCACGTTGTCTGGGTCCCTGTAGACCGGTGATCTGGGACCTCCCTGTCCCTGTACTCCTGTAGAGTAAGCCTTCTCTTCTTGCTGCTGGTCTCCAGTTCTTCTTCCTTGAGGTCGGTTGTTGGTGCAGTGGGCTCAGTCTGAGTAGAACATCTACTCTCCACATCCACCGGCGTTATTCCATCATCTGTAGTGGACTTCTCCTGTTCCTGGGTTACTACTGGGTCAGTAGTTTCTCTCAGGCATCCTCCTTTAAATATGTAAAGACCTGGGTCTAAATAACCCTTGTTCTCCCTGTGAATCATCTCACACTTAGTGAGTATAAACTCCACTCGGTCTGGATTGCTCTCATGTGCTCGACGAATGTGAGTTCTCATGTCTGATTTCCGCCTACACTCCGCGCTACACCCATTAACGGAACATATAAATTTGGTGACATACAGTTTGTGTCTCTCCTCCCAGTGTCGGGAGAATTTTGATTTGGAGGGAAACTTTGTCCCTTTACATCCAAGCACGGGGCACACCATTCCTGACGGATCGTAGAGGATTTCAATAAAGTCGGTCTGGCACTGTCCAAGGACAGCATTGACTTCACTCATGTCCGCGAATAACTCTAGAAAATCTGTAGCCTGAAATAGAATCAATTTTGTTCAACATTAAAGAACTGTTTGAATATTTTCTTTTTACTTATAAACATTATAACAGCCAAGAGTTGGAAAGGAAAATAAATAAACTGTATAACCTATCCCCACCCAATATATACAACAATGACAACTGTCATTTCTCCTGACATAACAAGTACACATCCCATCACTCAGAGAATCACTATTCTCTCATGGGAAATAACACCTGGTAGATAAGACACCGAAAGCTAAACCCATGGTGTATACAAAACAAATCTACCCAATTCCAACCGTAGGAATTTATACCATGTACTACATGTCATCATGTCCTCAACAGACATAAAATTGGGTCTTCCATAGGATTATACTTCATTAAAACAAACAAATAACATAAACACCACCCCCAAGAAATATATTTATCTTATTTATTTTTCTAAGGAGAATATCGAGAAACGGGTTTTATGAGCCTTCCTTTCCGTGAGAAAGCATCAGTGCATCTCGATTGAACCGCATCCAGATCTGGCGATTTGTAAGCCAAAGGCTCAATTTCCTCCTGATCGCTCATAGTATCATATTCGGAATCTGAATTTTCTTCGTATAGACAAGATTCGTCTTGGTCATTGTCAGAATCATATTGATTCTCTGCAATTCCGTCACCGTGAAGTTGTTTCAGATGATCAACATGGACTACAACTGTTTTTCCTGTTGTTTCATGTTTTATCTCATAGGTTATGTCTGAGAATTTCCGAACAACCCTGTAGGGTCCTGTCCAACCGGATCCTAATTTCTGGTTTGCTTTTGGTGGGTACCATCTCCATACCAGATCGTCTATTGAAAACTCCCTTGGCTTCAGTCTAACATCATAGTATCGTTTTTGTTTCTTAAAACTTGATCGCAAGTTTTCATGAACAATTCCATATGTCATTTCCATGGTATTGCGAATCCATTCTACGTACGAATGATAGCAGCCAATCTCTGGTGTATTTGTAGGAGTTGTACCAGCTATAACATCTATGGGCAGATTGATTTCTCTCCCTAACATGACCAGATTGGGAGTACATTTTGTACTCTCGTGAACTGTGGCACGATAGGCCATCATTAAATATGGCAAGTGGTCATCCCAATTAGATCTGTTTTCATTGACAAAGATAGACAACATTTGCTGGAGTGTGCGGTTGAATCTCTCTACCATACCGTCGGATTGAGGGTGATATGGCGTGGTACGGGATTTTATTATCTCCAAGAGAGAACACAACTCCGCAAACAGAGCCGATTCGAATTCACGACCTTGGTCGGTATGGATTCTAAATGGTATGCCTAAGCGGCATATTACTTCCGTTACAAGCTTATCAGCAACCGTCTGTGCTGTATGATCTTCCAATGCAAATGCCTCTTTCCATTTGGAAAAATAATCTCCAACAACCATAATGTATTGTTTTCCTTCTCTAGTTAACGGTAGGGGACCTAAGATGTCGATGGCAAGACATTCCATAGGACCAAATACTTCATGGTGTTGCATTGGGGACTTTCCTTGCCCAGGACCTGGCTTTTTCTTTGAACAAGGTTGACAAGTTTGACACCAGCGTGCAACATCATCGGTCATTCCTGGCCAATAAAAACGATTTCTGATGGAATGTAGAGTTCTCTC